GGGGGGAGGGGGGGCAGGAGGTGGAAGGTGGGGAAGTAACCTGCTTGGAGTGTTTAATGTTCGTTTATTCAGAGCATGGGCCAAGAGCCTATAACAGGGAACACCCAAGCAAGCTTTTCATTCATCCTGTAGTAAAATGGTTGACAGTGTTTCTTGGGCAGGGTATGATTTCATTTACTTTCCGCTTATAGTTTTAATGCGATTCTTTTTTCAGGACGCTTATTTTATAAGTCTCTTCTTTTCTTCTGTTCCGTCAAAGCCATCTGCATTTACCTCACTGTTACTTTGTTCTTTTCATTGTTTTCTTGTCTTTATACTTTCTTTCATAGGCTTCGGATGAAGATGAGCGCATGTCAGTGGGTAGCCGTGGAAGCCTGAGGGTTGGTATATTGTACAATTCAAGTGTGCATGTGTGTGTACCGATGTTGCTGTCCCCCTGTACCACCAGACTGGTTATAGTACTCTAATATCATCCTTCCAAGGTCTTGACGTGTTCTATGTTCAAGGCATATGGGTTTTTTTTTTTGAGTACATGTAGGTCAATAATTCTTTCAACCAGGGGAATTGTCAGATTTTTATGCATTGTGCAGGAACACCAGCAGAGCATGAGACTCTTCGGAAACCTTTCTGGTAAATGCTGTTTGCTGTTACTGTCACAGGAAGTACTTAGCCAAAACATTGGTATATGCACCTATTTCTTGTATGCACCTTGTAAGCTCTCCTGTTTCGTTATTGATACTGAGAATTTGGGAAGAGGAAGTGCTAGCTTACTCCGTGATCAATGTTTATTAGCTCAGGAAACCAAAAGCAAATTATCAGTGGAAATAAGTCTTAAGTGCTTTGGAATTGCAGGTGAACACTCTCCTCAAAACTGCTTTAGAGACATTTGAAATTCATCTGCAGACTTGAGTTTTGTGGAGGGCACAGAGTGCTGTAGCGCACCAGTACTCATCTGTAGGAAAAGTTCAAACGTTTTTTTCCCTCAAAATACCCATATAGTATTTTTCCAGATAATACACGTGTATAAATCTTAACTCCATTCTAGCATAGACATAATCAGCTCTTGTAACTTGTGAAGACAGTTTAAGCAATTTAGTAGTTGTGAAGGGCTAATGCTATTGTCTCAGCATGTGTTGTTAGTCTTCAGAAGATGATCAGAGCTCACTGCTTCTGAGACCTATGGAGAAGCATTCAGCTAACCACAAAACCAAAACAAGCTGTCACAGCATGGTGGAGGAAGCTCTCGGCAGTCTTGAACTTGAATCAGCTGCGACTAGTTTATGTTACAGTGTCATTTGTGCCTAAAATGGTTATGTTTGAGAATCATTTTTTCTTCTACTGATGTTGTTCCTAACTTATCCATAGTGCTAGTTATGTGGTTAAGCTGGATGATCAGTTGTGTTTTTATAGAACAAGCAAGACCTGTATCATTCATAGCAAGATCTTTATTTGTAATCCTTGGTTTCTGGCTTCTTTGGAGATTTCATGTCATAAAATTTTTTTTTTTTTTTCTCCTTAAAAAACTTGCTAATAATTATCTAGGCTAGAACTACCTTTTTTCCTGACAAAGTATCCCCCAAAGAACAGGATTGAGTGAAACACCTCATAAGCCTCTAGAAGTGTTCTTGAAGATTTTAAAAAAAAAAAAAAAAAAAAAAAAATTACTATTGCAGAGCCTGCTCAATGATTCACTGTAAGATAGCATAAGATGCACTTAAAATTAAGTGTTGCCATGTTCCCTTTTTAATGGAATCCTTATTACTACTTATGAAATGCTCTTAAAATCTTTAAGATTGCAAACTTACTCAATTGCTTTTCTAAGCTAGAAGATGCCTTAAAACTCCAAAGATTCAACAAAGAAAAGCTTATCTTCACAGCTGAACGTGAAAACCGATGTTTATTTTACTTAAAGTTAAATTTGGACATGTTTATGAAAGTGTTTTTTTTGGAGGGGAAAAATCTCTAGATCAGTTGAAATGTCAATTCTTTCTATGTAGAAGGTGATTACGATACAAATAGGTTGTTTAACCATGGCTATAACTGTGTGTCCCTTGATATGGCAAGATGCAAGTATGCTGGCGCTGTACTTATGGCGGGAGCCCTGTTCATTTGAAACACCTTTTGCTTCATGGAAATCCATTACTGATTCCTTTTGATGTGTTTTTGTAGCACTATCCTGCGTTTTATATTTAAACCGCAGAAGCCTTGCATTCTGTTTCCCCACCATCCCTTGAGAAGAAGCTTTTATGACTTTTTTCTTTTGTCTGGGAGCAGCCCGTCTCTGGGCTGCCAGCATGCCTTCAGGCTGCGGTAACCACTGCTGGTCTGGTGAGCAATGGTCTCTAGCTGGTTCACAGGATGGCCCATAAATACCTAATACTTTTGCAAAGAATGTCCTTTTCTGACAGAAGGATCTGGCTGAAACTTTTCACCCTGGTATTTCTAGTGATGTTGCACAGACTTCCCCCCGTCCTCGTAAAGTAGCATTCGGTGAATATTCTTATGCAAGCTGACACTTGGGCATGCACAGGAAAAGAGTTTTGACAGAGCTTCCTTCCCTCATCCAAGTGTCACTGGGATTGTAGAAGAAAGTAAACGTTTGCTACTCTGAGCTGAAATTTACCCTTATACATCTTCTAGTTGTTTTATTCACAATGAATTGATAGAACATACATGATAATTTTCCTAGTGTGGGTTTATAGTAGATTCTTTTAATAGTTTGACCACATCTCTCTCTGGCTATTTGTGAAGGTTTGGCTCTTGCTGTGTGTGTCTTCAAAACAACAAAGTAAAAAAAAAAAAAAAAAACCACAACCATGACCAATCTAAAAAATTACCTCTGAGGACTATAGTTCAGTTTGGCTTCTGAGCTATTCTAGCACGAAGAAAGCACCAAAAACTATTGCCTTGTGTCCACAGAGAGTTATAAATGTAGCCGGAGAATCCTGAATGTTCTTCTTTTTTTGGATGTTTGAAGGCTCCTTCCATAGTTGCAGGATGCCGTTGTAATTAGTCTACAAGACTTCCATTTTCTCAAAATTGATCTTGCATCTTTGGCACTTGGACTCATTGCACTCCGAGGGGCTGATGATGTTAGGGGTTGCTTTTTGAAGCTATGCTGCTTTTCTGTACAGAAAGTTTTCAATGAAATGAGCCAGTATCAGAAACGTATTTATCCCTGAGAATTTACCACCCTACTAATCTGTGTGGGTTTTACTCTGGCTTTTCTCCTGGAATATTTTCTAAGTGGATGGCTGAACTGCAGGCACCAGAGATCTGCTGAGCTAGCTTTTGGGGAGCTGGCCTGGATGCTTCTGTCAGAGCAACCATCAACAGGGCCTGCAAAACCACCTGAAATGTTGATTAGACCAGGCTAGCAAATTGATCTAAGCTCCACAGCTGTGACTATACTGTAAACAGTGGCCTAGTGTGTTGATACAATGCTTGAGTATATCTCTGCCTCCTGCAGGCAGACCTTCAGCTGCGATGAAGGGGCATCTTTAGCTGTTCTGTGGCTCATCCTGAACCCATCAAAGTATCCTGCCTCTCTTGTTTCAGATGTTCTGCAAGCTTGGTTCTTTATCATGCAGTTTTTCCTAGGGAAGCTCAGTAACATCATCCTGAGACACTCCAGCCTCTTTTCAGTCTCTTTTCTACTGCGAGAGTCCTTGTTCTCCCACTTCTCAGCTGGCTGTCTCTAATCTGAGACCATCCAGCGTGAAATATTGTTGTGTAATTAATCACTCGTGATGATGTTGGTGCTTGCTCCAAAGTTCCTGACTTCTGGCTTTGTGCAAGAAGTCCTGCATTATCAAAGTTCTTTAGTTGGGAGTTACATCTCTGTGCCTGGTTTGGTTTTTTTGTTTGTTTGTTTGCTTGTTGGTTTGGTTTGGGGAATTCTTTTGATTGCCGTAACTTGTTTCAATGTTTTCATTTGTATTCTGATTTTTCTTCCCTCACATGCCTTTACAGTCTCATTTGGAATATGCCAGCACCTACCCAGTGGTGAGAATAGTCTGCAAGTTGCAGTGTGTGTTAAAAACTAATCATGAAGAAGAAACTAACGTCAATTGTGATAGCTGATCTGAGATAAGGGATGATCAAAAATGATCCTGAGGCAGTTCGTGGTCTGTGATGTAAAGATGCTATTTCCCTCGCCTACTACTCTGACGCAGTTCAGATGAAAAGTGCTGAATGATTAGAGAGATCTAAGCTAGGTCTAGTTCAGTAGTTACCATAGGACAGAGCAGAGTAGCTTTTGTTTCTCCTAACAGACTTTCTCTGTTACAGTCTGTCCATCGTTTGACCAGGTATGTCTGGTTTTATTTCAGCATAAATCTGGAAGGGAATAAAACTCTCACAAACTCACTCTGAATAGATCTAGCAAAGGTGACAGGACAAATACACTGCCTACTAAAGCTTCAGCTTGTGTATCAAGCTGTTACCTTTGCTTTGGAGGATAAAATCAAACTCTGTATGTAATAAGACGAGAGCAAGTATTTGCATTGAACACATTGAGATAAAGCTGACTCTTGAAAGATCAGAAAGGGCACAGAAGGGAAAATGAGGATTGGGACTTTAAGCTCAGTGCTGTCTTGTGGCAGCACTGTGTCGAAATAGAGGTTTCTGCAGGAAGCAAACTGCGGAGAGCAGTTTTATAGATTCTAGCTTTTTCGCTCTCCTTCGTTCCCTGTGCTATTTCAAATTAGGAATGCAATGTATCTGTTTGTGAGTGACCTATATACAGAAATAGTTCAAACACATTTGGATTTTGCATGGATGTATTGATGTAGTAAGTATAGACAGCTGGTAGCTCTTTTAATTGACTTAACCCAGCAAGCGTGAATAATTTTAACTGTGGCTACTAAATTTAACAGCGCTATCATCACTTTTAACAATGTTCTTTAATAACTGGTCATTTGACTTTGAGATTTGATTTTTTGTGTGTGTGCTTACTGAGCCATGTGGTGTAGAGCTGGAGGAAAATCGGACTGATGTTTTTGCATGTTGATACGCATGCCTCGCAATGGATGGGTGCGCATAAACTCATTGATCTTTTCATCCTGCATTCTTAATCTCACTGCAGGCTGGATTAGAGAATGAGAGGACCAAAAAGAAGAAGTACTCCAAAGCAGTATGTATCTTGAGTAACTGTCTCAAAGAGGTTTTTGCATACAAAACCACTGTGAGAGGACAAGAGAATATGTGCAAGTATGTTGGCTGCAAGAGCACACCAGCCTAATGTCAAGGATACGGTGTAACTATCAGGACTTCTTGAGTCTGCAAGAATACTGAGCATCACTTCATCCGCAAAACGTGGTATAATCCAAACACATCAGTGTTGTACATAAAAAGCATCTTGAAAAACTCGAAACCTAACTTGAGCTTTAACATTATACAGAAATAGGTAATACTGATAGAATATGTATGTAGTAAAGGCTGCATCTTTTCATAAAGGTAGTTCTGCACAGTATTGATGCTATACTAGCACCTGTACAAATAGGGCATTACTTAAAGCACTGCAAAGCCAAACCTGGATTGAAGGTAAAGAATAACGTGCTTTCACACAGGCAGGATTTTAGCTGAATCTCACGGGGAGCAATTCCAGGGAGTGAAAGAGTACACAAGAGCGGGCACAGCAGTGTACAGCTGCCGCGAAGGGAAGGCTGCTCATCGCAGAAAGAGGTTGTCAGGCTGGGTTGGGGTTCTTCAGTATATTGGCAATTGGTAGAGAATTTTCTGAGAAGTAGAAGTTGGAGGTGGGATTGAGAAAGAAGCCTGAAGGAGCCGCATTAGCCACAGTCTAAGGTAAAAAGTGTTACAAGTATAAAGGGACATAATGACAATGAGGCAGTTAAAAGCAAGAGGAAAACACAGAAAAGAATAGGGTCAATTGCATAGTTACGAAGGGAGAACATGTAAAACATGAATATTTCAGCCTCCCCAGTATTTGTTGGAGTTTTCATGAAGTTTATGATCGGATGCTTAGCATGTTAACGTAGCATAGAACAAAGGTCAGCAAGGTCTGATAAAACTGACCCTGCTCTTCAGGAGCATTTGCCTTCAGAAATATGTGCTGGAGAAGTCTCTGGAGAGGATGGGTCATAGCGACAAGGGGAATGACCTGAGGTATAGGCCTTCAGTTGGAAGTCTGAAAGATACAGGGCAAATTAAATATGTTTAGAAATGCTTTGAATATAAAGGGATAAACAGTTAACCTGGATTTGTGGAAAATGAATCATGTCAATTCAACTTAATTTCCCTAAGCAGAGTAATTATTTAAGGGCATAAAGGAAAAGCTTTAGATGTGACTGTAATTTGACTATAAGGCTCTTGGCATGTTTTTACATGACATAAAGTGAAACCTTGGGCAAGATCTAGTTCTTGTAAAAGAAATGCGCAGTTAGTTGAAAAATAGCTCTGTTAGAAAACAAGACAGCTCATCTGATCTATTCCCATCTATGACAGCATCATCTGTTTTTAAAGGGGAAAACAGTTCTACAGGGGTCTGTATTGCCTAGCTGTCTCAGTACAGGGAGTGAAGGCAGTTTCATGCAAGGTTAGAATAAAAATACTGATGATGAATAGGAGACAACTTGTCAAAACTGAATAATAGTAAAAATAAATGAGGAATACCACATTTGGGAAAAACGAAATATACTATTACAAAGTAAGGAATTCTGCATAGGAATGGTTCCAATAATGATCTGAGGTTACATTTAGTCAAATTACATTGCTGAAAAAAGGCAAACTTCATTCCTCAGTGTAGTAATGAAAGGGGCAGCGGAGGTAATGGGTCTGCACAGCGCTGTTGAGGCTGCAGCTGGAGTGTTGGCTTCAGTTGCTGAAGATTCATTTTAACCATTCTTCAGGAAGGTATTAGAAATTCAAGGAGCCTGAAAAAAAACTAGCAAAAACTGGAAAGAAGCCAAGCTGTGTGAGAAGACTATAGCAGTATGTCAAATTCAATTCTTCTTGAAAAAAGAAACTGGATGTTGGCCTTCTGTTTGTGGTGATAATATTGCATTTCAGTAGAGAATCGAAGCTTTTCCCAGAAATTGCTTTACCAGCTTGGGTCTAAACTGGTTTCTAAGCTAATTTGTTTAATTTTCATGGAAGCCACTGTATAGTATGTGATAAATATTTTGCTTGGAAATTGAGTCAGATTGGGTTTAGTGGATTTTCATTTTGGGAATGCATTAAAGCTTGGACTTCAAAACTTAATTTAAATAGAAATTCTAATTAAATTTCCACTAAAAAACCCACCTCAAATACACAGATTGCTTCCTCATTTTTGATGTTAAACCAGGCCTCATTGTGAAGTCATGCCAGAATAGTGAATTGCTTGAGAAATCTGAGCTTTTAATGGTTTTGATTGAGGTGACTTTTGGGTCTATCCTCTTTTCTTCAACATCATGTTTCCAGACTAAAAACTGCATCATAGTGATCGTTTTACGTTATTCCTGGCCCTGCTGCTGTAGGGATTTGAAGCATCTTGCCCTGCTTGTGAAATGCTTGTTCTGAGCCTGTTTGTTTTTTCTCTTGTGAGAGAAAACATCTTAATGACAACAAGGCAGGCTATTGAGCGTGATGGAGGACAGTTGAATCGAGTCTTTGGACTGCCACACAAAATACTGGGATGTGGCAGATGGTCACTGCCTGGGTTTAAGTTTGATATAATCAGGGAAAGCTAAAAAGAAGAGATTTCATACAGCATTGCACGTTTACTAAACTGAATTTCTCGAATATAAACTTAGAATTTTTTTGCTACAATTTGCTGCTTTTTAATTGCTTAGCTGCCAGAGGTATAAGTAACTACACGTAAATTTCTTTTATTGTAGTCTTTCATCTCTAGCATCCCCTTTTTGTCCTGTGTTCCCTTCACAGGGCATTTGAAGAGGCAGGTGCTATAGTGCAGTAATAATAGGAGAGGGAAACGTGTTTCTTAACAAGAGAAAAAGGGGTCAAAAAAGGCAGGCAGGAGTATCCTTGACATTTTTGGCTGGTATACAGGTACTGACAGACACACAAATGTTCATGTCCTCATGTTTGAAATCATGACCTGATCCTGCGTTTTTCCTGTTCCTGCTGTGTCTTTGAAAAGTTCTGTCTCTGCCTTTGCTTTTCGTAACTGATGACTTTTGCTAAAAATTCCCTTTTGGGTCTGCGTCAATTTTTCTCTCTCCTGTTTTTTTTTTTTTTTTTTTTCTTTTTTTCCTTTCCTTCCGTAACAGACCAATGGTTATGAGGAAGACGTGTATGGATCATCCCAGAGTAGAAAATCTAGCAGGGTTAGTAGATGATTTATATTGCTATAAAATCTATTGCTCTATTTAATGGGATTAAAGCTAATTAGCAAATTCTTTTTCTGTGGTAAAGCAGGTTTTTCCTGTCTTACACGTTGTGGGTTTTGCAGTTTGTCAGATGCGGAGGTGCAGCAATAAGCTGTCTAAAAAAAAAATAAAAAAATAAAAAAAAATTAGGCCATGAGTGGGAAGGGAAGTCTCTGAATTTGGTACAAGTAAAACTTGGAAGCCAGAACTGCTTAACTTGTAAACAAAAACTGGGTAAAAGTTAAATTGTGACAAGAAACAGTTTGGTGGCACCTGGCATGAAGGATTTCCATGTGCTGGACAACAGAACAATTGTTTTCCAACCTGTGCAACGTGTTCACGTCGTGCTCTAACACTGAAACTCCCAAGCTTCACCTAGAATTTAGTCCATGTCTTTAGATTTGCATATGTAAAATGGACTTTGGATTTTGAACTTTTGCCAAATGTATGTTGTTTATTTGAAGTTTGCTTAACTAAATGCTTTTTTTTTCCTTTCTAAATTGTATCCTAGGGTTTCTGGAAACTCCTACAGAGGTGAACAGCCAGTGCAAGTGTTATTACTTAGATACTTACCATTGATCTACTTTTATTTCTAGAAATATTCTTGTCAAAAAAAGCTTAATTATTAACTCCATTGTGTGTATGTGGGTCACAATGTTCCCTTCAGTTCCAGCACAAGTGTTTTGTGTCAATTATAGGAATTCATTGTCCTCCTTTGTTAAATATTGGGGTTTGTGCAAATTATTTAAAGGTATTGTCTCAGAGAGCAGAGCCTCTTTGGGGGGCAGGGAGGGAATCTGTCTGGGTTTTTTTTTCCTTGCCTTTATCTTAACAAAGGCAGACAAAAGCTCTGAGCCTGTTGATCTTTATGCTGTCAAAACATTCTAAAGAAATTTAGTGGTATGCAGACTAAAGCTCTATGTTTAGGGGAAAAATAAACTACTTTTAAGACTCCATTTAGCTAAGTGTTTGAGCAATACATGCTAAACGTCAGACTTCAGCGGGTTATTTTGTAAGCATGAAGTTAACCAGGCGCTTATATAAGGTCCCATTTCACGATTTATATTTTATGTCCATTTTGAATTGTTGCTTCCATATGGTTGTATGTATTTAGCTTATATATGTGGATAAGAGACAATGAAATACTGTTGCTTAAACTGTTAAGAAAACAGTATGTCCTGTTGTTGGCTGAACCGCTTGACAAGTTCAAGGAACTTTATTATGTAGTGCTTCTGACAAATGATGTTCTTATGGTTTATGGCGTACTCCAGAGCTCCAAGTACTGCAGGAAGAGCAAATTATCTAAGAAAGTCATCCAGGGAAAAGTAGTTGGTTGGTTTCCATTTAAATAATTTAAAATCATTTTGGTATTAGGGTTCGTAGCATGGAGGTTTAGTGTATGTAGAGCATAATTATAGCAATGTCATTAGTTCCTTGCTGTTTTTATTACTAAGTGTAGTTCAGAATCTTCATTATTTAGGAGGATGAGAGTTCGGGGGTAACTTAGAATAGCTGAGACTCCAAAACCACTTGATGCCAGTCTGGCTGGTATTCACCTTTAGGAATACTCTCTCCCAAAACCCCAAACCTAACCGTGAAGATTGCCAAAGTGACAATGAAAAACTAAGAGGCAGAATTCTTCGGGTCAGCAAGGAAGTGATGAGTCTGCTGATAATAGTTGTTTCCAAAATAGGTGTCCAATTTTAAGTCGCATAATGGAGCGATGTCTGATGGAGCATGGAGATCAGCCTTTGTACACTGTACTTGCAATATCACAGGTCGAATCTTAAAAATTAATAAGGCCATGTGCCTAGGTAGTCCACGTGCAAATTACAAACTCTCTAGGTGGGAATGAAAGTCGTTTCTTTAAGTTCAGTTTAGTGTGTTCACATTTCTTTTCAATGAAAGTCTTATTTTACAGGCATTCAGGAAGAATGAGGCAGAAAGGGATCTAAATTTTTGAGGTTGGACAATGACTTATCCTCAGTATGTACGTGTGGGTGGTGTCTTATCCACAATGCCTGCAGTGACAGAAGTCCAGTGTCAAGAACAAACAAGTTTAATTTGCCACAAATCCCTCATTTGTAAATGGAGTTAACACCTACATAGTTTATACTGATGATGCAAGGATTAGCTAGGGCTTGTAAGAAAGCTGAGTAATTGCTGACTACTAAAAGCAGGGTATCTTGGTTGTCTGTACCCCTGGAGAAGCAGGATGTTAGAGAACGGCTGGTAAAAGGAGACTCTGGAGTACAGCGAAGAAGGTAGAGGTGTGGAGCTCTTTCAGAACAACCATTCCCGCCGGTGTGCATGCACCCATGGGAAAAGAAGGAATCTAAACAGTGCCTAGGAGGCTTTGAAAATACCTTTGCAACTTGTGTCTGGTTGCAGGGCTGGTTACAGGAGGCTGAGCAAGCACAGAAGTCATTTCACGAGGGTGGGGATGCGGGGAGGTAGCGTTTCCTCCCTCACCCCTGCACGCTGGCTGCGGCAGCGTGTGCTCACTCCTAAGCGCGCCTTCCTTGTGTGGCTTTATACCCTGCCCGCTTGGCTCGGGACTGCATCTGTCCCTGGCGCGCCAGGGTAACTATTTTATCACATCTTAGATGCGCTTTTAGGCTGCCGTTTTTCGGAAAGTAAGGAAAATACAAAATCTTCCTAGTATGCCTGTATTTTTCTTGATTCCTTTGGCTCTGTGAGATGCATAATGTCTTATATGTAGATTTCCAATCTGCATTGAAAACAGACCTTGATTTACAAACTTAAATATCCCTCCATGTTAAAAACAGCTGTTTATAACAACTTAAGTTGTTCACAATATATTGTTGCATGCTCCTAAAGCTTTTGGAAGCCAAAATACTGAGTTCCACTCAGTATTATAAATATTCTACTGCTGTCAGCCTTCCTGCACCCTGGCAAGCCCTACATGGGGCTTTGTGTCGAAGCGTTCGTGCAGCAGAAATTCTCAAAGATAACACACAACAGCAGAAAAGCTGAGATGGCATCCTATGCCCCAGTACAGGTGCTGGGGGGAATGAATGGAGATGCTGTGTATCACACTAGATAAATAAGGTAGTATTTTGGAGAGTAGGGGTGATTTTTTTAAGTCCACTGGAGTTGTCAGTCAGTCGCTATTGGTACTTTTGGTATTTAACTTGGAGTTGAATTAAGATCTCCCCATTCTTGGGGAGACCAAATAGGTGGACCAAAAGTGCGAGGTTGGCTAGATGCTAGGTAGGAAGCTGCGTAAAAGAAGGTGTTTAATTTAGACAGTCTCATTTCTTACGGAAAAGTTTTCTTTGCATTCAGTCTTGCCATATCGGACAATGGGCTGCTCACTTTTCCTGATGGGCACACCCAGCGGCGGTTTTGGTCCCTGGCTTTGCTCTCTGTCTCCCAGCAGAGTTGTCCTGACACTTTCTCCTGTATCTCTTGTGGGTTTAGGTTGTAAGGCATAAACTCCTCAAGAGTTCAGAAGCTGATCTTCTCTCTGACCAGTGTGTTTTTCCAGTGCTTGATGGGCAGTGGCAATCCACTCTGTTGTTTGCAGTGGTGGGACTGCACATGGAAAGAAATAAATTCTGTAAAGCAGGAGCCTGGTTTTTTAGGTATGAGGCTGTGATGCAGCTGAGTTTGAGCCTGGAAGTTAACATTTCGAACATCTTGGACAAGAGATGTCTGTTCTGTTTTACAGAAGCTGGAAGTATATTGATAAATACAGCTTCACTTAACTAGAGTTAGGATGAAACTTAGGTGCATGAGCTGCATACATGCTTTCGGAAGTGCGGGCTGTCTTCTTCCAAGTCCCATACAAACCATGTCCTTGCAGCATACTGTCACGTTGGTTCATAGCAAGCCTGGAAGTTAACATTTCGAACATCTTGGACAAGAGATGTCTGTTCTGTTTTACAGAAGGTGGAAGTATATTGATAAATACAGCTTCCCTTAACTAGAGTTAGGATGAAACTTAGGTGCATGAGCTGCATACATGCTTTCGGAAGTGCAGGCTGTCTTCTTCCAAGTCCCATACAAACATGTCCTTGCAGCATACTGTCACGTTGGGTCATAGCAATGAGAAGGGAGGAGAAAATGTGAGGGTTTGAAGCCTTTTCAGTGGAAAATAAACCAAGCGGGTATTTTGTGCATAAGATGCTGTAGGGATAGAGGAAAGGCCTTTTGTTTATTTAAAAATTTCTGTCTTACAAATGGAAAGAGCACACAATTTTCACACATTCTCATATCTTTAATGCAGTTTCCTTGATGCAGTTCTCTCTTCTTTTTGCATCTGTGACCACTTTGACTCCTTAGTATTTGTAATCACCTAATTTACTTTTTGCTTCCCATTTAAAGGAATTTAGAAAGTCCTTCATGTCACGAAGCTGAGTTATCAAGGGGTTTTTTTGTTTGTTATTAATGCAGGCTTCCTACTACTCTGATCTGGGTCTTCACAACAGCGGCTATGCTTCCACATCTCAACCTTCTTCCCAAAATGGAAACTGGGTCTGTTGCCCTCTGGCTTTACCTGGCCCGGACTTGTTCTGAATTCATTGGGATAATGCAACCTCTTGTACTTAGGAATGAATTTGGACCAATTGTCAAGAGTCTCTGTAGCTCTTTTTAGTAAAACTTAAACAAAACCAAAACAGAACTTTTAAGATTGGAGTGAGTAATGGAAAGCCGTTTTAAAACGAGCACAATTAGTTTTCCTTTGCTGCTCCTCCCTTTCCTACAGTTACTTTGTTTGCTTTTGGCCTCAGTTGGTCTGGAAAAATAAGGGAGATCTTAATTAACTGAAGTTCTCTATTCTATTTGAGGCAACTCTGCTGACTGTGTCAGTCTAGCAAGCTTAAGACAATCCAGTCTGCATAAAATGGAATTACAAGCAAGTAATTCACAGCCTGCTAGAAGAAAATAGCTGAAGCTTCAAAATGACCCGAGAGGTTGGATTGTCCTCTGCTTGTGGACAGAGCTCAGCCAGTCCGGCTGAGCAGTGCTTGAGCAGTGGTCCGCAGCCTGTCCTGCCCGGTGGGCAGCAGCACGAGGACATCGCCTGGTGCTCTGTGGTGGCCGGCGATGGGGACGCTGCATATGAGCGGGGTGACTGGCAGCAGCACGTTGTCTGTAAGCTGTGGGCTGGGGACCACTGCTGGAGTATCTCTTGCACCTAATTATGCCGGATACAGTATGTGCTCTCTCAACTTAATTGCTGCATCTTGTGAATGATGGTTACTAACAGCGAAGTCATTTGTTTTATGGTGCTCCGACTTAAGTACTCATAATTTTGTCCTGAATTATTTGGGTTTTCTCTGCATTTTTGCTTAATCATAAAATACACAAGAGGTGATCTTACAGCTGTGTGAAACACTTAAAATGTATATGTTAAAACACTTCTATCTTTGTATGTAGCTCTTTTTCTGGCTTTGGTTGAAGTGAGGAGAAACACCCTTTCTGGCTGCTATACACAAATGTGTGTGAGACAATAACAACTTAACAACCTAAAATTAAATTATGCTGTTTTGCTTTTGCATACTGTCGTGTCCTCCCTTCCTGTAGGAAATGCACATGTCTGCTTGTTACTCTTAGTCTTTGGGAGTTGAGATCTAATGCTTTTATGGCGCAGATGACTAATATTCTCTATACTGGGTTTCCTTCTGTTGTAGTTCAATAATCCTAATCTCTTATCAAGAAGGTTAATTCTGCTGTAGGCGCCTTTTTTTGTTTCATTTTCTACGCAAAAAAGTTTTGTGCTTGTCTTCCTCAGCCCTCCTTGCTGTACAGCGATGCCCTGCCAGCCAGAAGTTACAGGGTTTGTTGTACTAATGCTCTAAGCACAAATTCCGAAGCCACTCACCTTCAGCCATGCATATGTTGTCTCTTACCTCTGTAGTTCCTGTTGGGTCCATTTATTTCACACTCTGGTGTCTGATCCATCTGAATGCACGTGTGCAATGCTGTTTGTACAGACCTGGATTTGCTGGTCCTTCCTTTTATTCCCGTTGGAACTGTGCAACCACTGCTTGTGGGGTTGTGATGCTGCCACAGGCTTCTCTCTGGATGGAGACGGTTGTCTTCGGTTTGGTATATTAGCTACAACGTGCAGGAGCAGGCCAGAGAGAGGCAACATCAATTCTTTCTGGTTGTGTAACAGCTAACTAAACTCTGATTAAAAAATTTTTGTAGCCAATTTCCACTCTTCTTGTTTAACCTTTTAAAATGAGCTTCTCTCACATTTTATTCTCAACGCTTGAAGGTCGAGTTTCCTGTGTTTCCTGAGCCAGACATTTAAATGCTAAACTGGAGCCAGAGTCTTAGAATATGCATCTTCCTTCTTTTTTATTAATTTGGTAAACTGGCTAGTAAGTGAAATTCATCAGGCGTTAAGTGGGGGCAGGGGGGTCCCCCTATATTTTGCCAGCACCAGAAATGAAAGTTAAACAGATTTGAACAACTTAAAGAATTGATGTGGCCGTTTTGTTGGAAGGCAACAAGTAAACTGTTGAATTGATGATTGGGAGAACGGTTAGAAATGCATGACTGTGTGATGGACTGGGGGGTGGATGTCAGATTTTGCACGTGCCTTATGGCGTTTCCCAGCTCACTGACCTCAGGTTGTGTTAGATCTTCACTTGCATGTTGCTTGTGGTTGCGTACAGATGTCGTCCCTGTCCTTGCACATACTGCTCATTCCCCTACGTCCTTTGCACTGCACCTTGTGAATTTGTAATGCTCCAGGCTGAAATCGGAAACTAGGTCTGCCAGTCCTGTTCTGACTCTGTCTTTTAATTGTAGGCGTCTGTGTATGACGAGAGCGTTTACAGTGGGAGTCGTCGGTATAGTGCCTCTAGTTCTCGTGCTGTAAGATGTTTTCTGCACTTCCCTGTTGTCTTGTCTCTGTCCTCCAATAACCTGTGTGTACCAGAACTCAGCCTTTTCTGGGCTGAGGAACACTTTAAGATGGACTGTGTGAGATTCGTAGCCTGCTGCTGTAGGCAAAAGCACGAGCACCGTTTCTGTGAGCTTCCATGAAATAACAAGCAGTGATTTATCTGCTGTTGTAACGCCTGGCCTCGCGCAGACCGGCCCTGGCTAGCACCGACAGCGCCCGGCGCAAGGCACCTGCCTCCCCTGCGGCGAGGGGAGTTCGGCTCTGCCTCGCGCTTGGTTTGCAGATAAAACACCTTGGAAAGACGGTGCATAAAGTCCCTTCCCTCACTGAGACTTAATTCTTCTTTTGAAAACTAATAATAAAACAGGATTTTTTAAAGAAATAAAGAAAATCACTTCCCCATTAGCACTTACCTGCTAGCATGAAGTAAAGGGTTGTCGTGAATGTATGGCTTGCTTGGTTTTGTTCCTTGGATTTATATTCTGTCGTGGTGTCTCAGGCAACTTGTGACAACGCTTTTGAAATACATGCTTCTGTGAGTGGAGGGCTCTGTCATATACGGGGAGAGACAATATGAGGAATGACAATATAAATTGTTTCCTTTCAAAAAAAAGAGGCTGCAGGACTTGGTTTACAGATTGGAAGGCAGATTCACCTCTTCTTAGACGGGGCTTCCATGTCATGGTGGGTGTTTGGGCCAGGCAGTACATCTGCTGCTGTAGTATCTGCCTGGAAAAAATAAACCAGTCATCTTTTGATTTGTAAATTCTGCTCTGTGGACCCAGTGCTTATTCTGCCTCTGAACTCCTTCGGCTGATTATCAAAAAAAACCCCAACCAACCAAAAAAAAAAAACAAACCACCAACCAAAAAAAACCGCCATCAAACCAAAAAAACCCACCACCAAAAACCTGAACAGAAAAAATCCTCAAGACAAAGCATTGATGTTAATTTAATGTTAAAAGTTACAATTTTATTAGCTTGGAGAAGGACACAGACTTTCAACGATGCTTACTAAGCACTTTTTAGTCTCTAAAGCGCTGTGCCGTCCTCTTGCAATCACACTGATTTGACTACTTGGGCTGTGCATCTTGCTGCTGAGGTGTTAAGCTTCAGATTACTTTGTTTCACATTTGTGCCTTGTTTTCCTTTGGCTGCCTTGGAAAATCCATCGGTACTTACCCGTTTGGACTGTTGTGGCAGCCGGCAATTCAGTGAATTTGCCACGGAGGCTGAGCTGGTTGTAGCCCTTTATACAGGACGTCTTCCTTTGTTTGAGAAAAGTCTCTCAAAGGTCCAGATGATACACTTCTGCTCCTGGGAGAAATCATTTACAGTGGGCTCCGAGCCCAAACGCGGTTTACAAGCCTTTCAGCCACTGTTAATGGGTTGAGCAGGGAACACTGAATAAAATGCTGGTGCCTGTTCCCCTTCCTCCCTCCCATCCCACGCTGTGCCACAGGTGTTTGGAAGCTGGTGTATAACCCAGCCTTTCCAGCTTCTGTTGCACGATTGCCTGTAGTAATGAGAGAGTTAAGTATGAGGTTTTTGCCTCGAAGGGAATGGCCTTGTCACAATTACTGACTTATCTGTGGTTATTTTAATGTCTCTGAACCTCATAGCGCTTTTAACGTGCAGAGGGTGTGCCATTTGGGTAGGTGTCCCCAAAGAATGTTTTTGGATGATGAGATGACAAGTGAATGCAGGGGGCGAGCCTGAAACTGGCCTTACTTGGTCTCGGCTGCACAAGTGGCACTTGCTTTTGTATTCTGCCCTGCAATACACAGAGAGCACCTACGGAATGAATAGGTCCCGTAAAGCATTAATATGGGACTCACCAGTAGTTTATACTTTTTCCCTGTCATATGTCTCAAGTTTATTCTACGTCCTGCTTATGTTAAACATAAAACACCAGTGATGGCGCAAGGCTTCTGTGCTAGAACTAGTTAATAAGAAAAAAAAAAAAAAAAATTACTTCAGTGCTTTTTGGTTTTAATTTAGGAATTGAAGTGGCTGTGATTGAAAATAGTTGTAAACTGTGTGCGACACGGTTCTAAATTTTGCATATTCTCATCTCGGAAATGAAGCTCAGTAGTTCAGGTGCGTGAAGCCAGCGTCACTTCACGTAAGACATCAGAGGACATGGCTTAGTCACGTTCTGCCCTGCTTCAGGGGCTTGCTAAGGGCTGTGCGCCTTGGAACGTAATGCTTTGCGGTTAGTAACTAAGCTTAGGGTTGTACTGTAGCTGGGGTTATTCCCAGCTTACTCTCTTGTCATTTATTAGTACTTACATTATTAGTAAGCTTAATTTTCATTTATTACTGTGCCGCTTTGTTAGCGTGACTAATGATGCTGAAACAGTCCTCCAGTAGCTTGGTGGAGACCTGGCTTGTCCCTGTAGCTGAGGAGTCCAGGGGATTCCTGTAGTGGCCAGGTAACTTAATAGAAGAAACCTTAAAAAAAAGACAGAGTACATGCATCTGAAAAGCAGGATAATTCTTTAGACTTTAGTGTTTTTGTATCTGAGAAATAGTCTTAAGCGCCTATCAGTAAACTCATAAAGGTCGTTAGCAGTATAGTCTGAGCTGCTGAGAAGAGCAGTTCCTCACGCTGGTTCCGGTTCCGGGACTGCCATGCCTCTTCACAAAGGCTACATTCACAATTGCCTTGAGGTGGTGGCAATAGGAAAAACATCATGTCCAGTAAACCTCAAACTTCTTTAATTCCTCTCCGTTCCAAATGTATCAAAATCTCCCTTTTGTGTATGCTTATAAAGTTCATCTAAATACGAGATTGAGTGTGAAGCTGCTACTCTGAAATCTGAAAGTACAGGGAATAATTCTAAAATGCATTTCCAGAATAAGTTTTGGTTCTGTTTCCCTGACGCTCTAAACTTTCATTTCCCTTCTCTACTTCCACTGCATTATAACCTCTGGAAATAAAACAGTATAGGCACATTCTTTGTCCTTGTCAGCAACAAGTCAGCCCTGTCTGTTCTGCATCACTGCTTAGATGTTTGCTTTTAAGAAGGACTAAAATACTTTCTTTGGCAGGAGATGAGGACTGCAGGTGCTGGAAAAGCAGGAGAGATACTCAATCTCTGAGATTGTCTCAGTTTTTACTTTAATCACCGTGTAGATGGATGTTTCTTGCTTTGGCCTGTGGAGCACGGATTCATTCTATATGTGCACGGTGTTGGAAACATGGGAAGAAGGCTCACCAGAGAACCTCGGAGCTCTTAAAGAGTAGTAGGATTGAGCATTTTGTATAGAGACTGAGAGTTGTTTACTTGTGACTGGTATCTTAAGATATATAAATAAATCATTAGTATTCTGTCATTCTAAGAATTGGATCAAAACTCTGGTCTGTCAACTGGAATTACTGCTTGCCTTAATTTTTAAATGAACAGTTGAGGTGTCTGTTCTCTGACTTTCACTGCTGTTCCTTTGTCCAGCTGCATGTAACCATTTTTGTAACTAACTTCAGATGTAATTCTCTAAATCCTTTCTCACTTTCCTTCCCAATTCTAATGCTTTTCTCTTTTCTCTGCTTGCTATTCTGGTTTACCTGCGTCAGCCTTCCGAGTATAGCTGCTACCTTGGTTCAGGATCTCGGGCATCCTCAAGAGCCAGCTCTGCTCGGGCCAGTCCAGTGGTGAGCTCCTCTATTTTTCTTTGTCCCTAAACGGTTTAATTCTTCTGTTCTTCAAGGTGTCTCTTGTACAAAGAGGTCCCTCGTGAGACAGTTTCTTCTGGTATTAATTGGACCTTCTGGGCAGTGCTTAAGACAAAGAAGGGGTGAACTGGATGAGAAATTACAAAACCGAAGTAATTTCTATGCAGATGCACATGTTTTTACAATAGAAGTACCCTTTGGACTCGTGACAATGCTGAATTTTTTCGAAGTTGGGCATAAAGCACATCAGCAGTGTATTGCGAAAAAGACAGGGTTATTGATGCTAGTGCCACCTCTCCTTTGGTTGTTAAAATCAAGAGACCCTAAATCTTGCTGCAGCGTTCAAGTGGTTTAGTTTCTCTCTATTCAGCAGTATTCTGGTGGTGTGTTGCTGCAAGGCTGCAGGGCTATCCAGAGATTGGATTTGAACACACTTGTTGGACTGTAGATTACCAGGCACTGCAGAGTCTTTAGCACGGTGAAGTGCTAGAAGGATTACACGTACCCAGCGTGTATAACCGTCTTGAATTCCGGAGGAGTCATGGCTGAGCAAGGCTGAAATGCTAAAGGCTTGTCCAACCCCTACCACACCCCCAAGATACGAAGTGATGAGGAGGGTGATACTGTAAATTAACACACACAACGTGCTTCTCTAGTCATAACATCCTATTGCCTTTGTTGCTTTGCTGAGTAGCTGAAACTTAGATGCTGTAAATGTTGCCTTAAGGACTAATTAAAAAGGAGTATCTGGAGAGTCAAAGAAGCTACTACAGCATGTGACATGGTAAGCTGTAACATGAATGTTTGGAGCGTTCCTCTTCAGTAAACACACGCAGTCTGCAGTGAGGAATTGCTTTCTATCTGATGTCCCCCATCATGCTGGTTCCCCCTTCAAACGTAGCCTGCGGTTGAAAACCTGTGCGCTATGGGTGTTTTCTCCCATAGTTAGAAATGTGCATCCTGGTGGTGAAACGCTTCTGAACTCTCCAGGCAGGGTTACTTCTTGTCCTCAGGCAGGGAATAGGCGAGCCTTTTGGTCATCAAGCGAGCCCTCTCCTTCGAAGTGAGAAAGAGCTGAATAAACTGGCTGGAGCAAAAGAAAATTGAACTGATAGAATACACCTATGTGCTCTGAAGTATTAGTGTTTCTTAAAGACAAGGATACATCCACTTTTTAAACTGATTTTTTTTTTTTTAAAAAAGGATTTTCATCAGATAATGCATGGCAGCCAGTGAGCTATAAATAAATTGTATTTTAATTAGTTCTTGAATCTGAGTCCCTGAGCTATGAGTTCTTGCAGTATATATCTTCCATTAGTAATACTTCTCAAATAGCTTTGCAAACTGAATTTCAGTTATCCCCAAAGCAAAAAATAATCAGAATAATCAGGGATTCCATTGAAGTTCTTTAAGTGTAAGAATTGGGTACCCATACATTGATGTTGGTTTCCATTATGTGTTTTTTGTATGCAGTCTGAGTCATTGGTGCAAGTTGCTTATGGTAATCACAAAATGCAGCTTGCCCCTCCTGGGAAGTATAGGGGATTTTTTGTCTTTTGATTCCCTGCTTACACTTTGCACTATTTATATGCAAGTGGCTGGAGATGGTTAGCTGTGTCAGCACCGATGCTGGAGAGGTGCTAAGCTGCATCTGCTCTGCAAGGAGACAGCAGGCACTTTTTTATTTCCTTTTTTTTTTCCCCTTTAATTAGTGGTTTATTGCAGGGAGTGAAGAGCTTCCGTTATTTCTGTGGCCTTGAAGAAGAGCTGAGAGTTAATGCTGTAGTGGGTCTAAAAGGCACCACTGCAGGGGCTTTGCTTCTCCTAATGCAAGGTAGTACAAGTCTTGTTAACGGGCTGGCGTTGTTCTTAAAAGTGATTTTTTTCTTTTTTTTTTTTCTTCTGTATTAAACAGACAACACCTTTTCATGTAACTCACAGTACATGTGAGTTGCCTTGTCTTTTACTAGCAGAGGATTGGAGGCGATTTGATAACGTTTCCAGTTTTGTACTTGATCTTGGCGGTAAAGGTGCTGAAATAGAGCCCTGTCTTTTCAGTGGGCTTAGCAGTGTATCGCTTCCACTCGTACATTCCCAGAATGTCATCTGCTTGGACTTCCTAAAGGAAGAATAAAAATCTCCTTGAACGGTGGTAGTAACTTATGAGATGAAAAAAGTGGTTGTTTTTGTCTATATCAGTAGCCTACGTTAGAACTGGTTTAATATTGCTAACCCCCAAAACTGAGTTGTTCCCTGCCTTGATGTATTGAACCATATGCTTTCTTGATTCTGCTTTATATATCTTCTGGCATTTACACACGTAAAGATTTGATTCCAAGTTTACTTTTCAAATGGCTGGCGGAGGAGGAAGGAAAGGGGAGTATCTGTTGGGTTGAAAAGCTGAATTTCCAGCATGCTTATGTCACTTGAGAGTGTTACAGTTTACAAAATCCATGTATTGTAATCATGAGTGCTTAACACTGAAGTTGAATATGATTTTCTTATGATAATGGGTATTATCAGGCAGAGAAACAAAATTGAACTGTTCCCAAACCTGACTAACTATCATGTATATTGAGAACGGAGAATGATTCAATTTAACTTTCTAAATTAAACCGTACAATATCTTGTTACTGCAGCCCTTAAATCTCTTCTGAGAATTGTTTCCCTCTTCTACCACTGTTCATTAAACAGTGAGCAAAAAGCGACAGTAGTTTTCCTGCTGCGCACAGCTTTGCCAGCTTGTGTTCTCCTTTGTGTTATGATGTTTGTAATACAGTAAAAGCCAGGGAGATACTTAAACACAATTTGTGAATATTTATTTGTCTTTGTATGTATTTTTAATACTTCAGTATATCTGCATGAAGTTTGCTGTTTGATTTTTTTTTTTGATGCAGTGAGTAAACATTTTTCACATTATCCCCACTAGTAATGATTGTCTGCTGTCCTTGCAGTTACTGCAGATAAGCAAATGTGTCATGTTTAATATTAAAGCATTCTACTCGATATAAAATACAGATCTTAAGACTACTGAGAGCAAACATCAGGCCTATCTGTAGAGATTGAGGTAAACCTTGTGCCTGAGCTAGCGGCATGTTTTGGCTGAGATGGGCTTTTTAATACGAATTGCTGGAATTTTTCTTTTTTTAAAATTAATAAACTACTAGTGAAAAGCAATTATTTATACATTTGAAATAGACTCAGAATGCAATAGTATTTATCTGAAGATTTTCTGAGCAAAGGAAGGCAAAATAATAGGAGAGGGCACGTTTTGCTGCCCTGAGAAGATGATCTTTCGTATTAACCCTCTCCCTTCTTGCGGAGTCTCAGACAGCAGGCACAAGCGGTCGGCATGCAGCCTGGCCAGCGGGCTGGTACCGACAGCAGCGTGATCGTCCAAGGTGCAAGACTGAACATGCAAGTGCCACTTTGTGCGTGTGCAGTCCTCAGGTTATACATTAATGCACACTTGTGAATAGCTTTTTTCGTTTGAAGAAGCTTATTGTGTTCTCACCAGAAATAAAATGAAGACAGTCAGAGTTAATTTTCATGGAAGCGGTTATCAGCATACTCAAGCTTTGCCTTCTCTCCTCTGCACTTACAGATTTACAGTAGGCTTGTATCCTAGCCCAACCACTAACAGTCTGGGTGTGCTTTTGGCCCCTCCGGAGTGAGGATTTGCAGCAGTGCTAACTTGCATTTCAGAGGCTGATAAGTTTGTTTAAGCAATGATGTTTGGCATAACACTCATTCCTGAGCGAGGATACTTCTGACAAATCCACTTTAGACCTGACAAAGTTCAGCAGTGGTTTTCCCCTGCTGACTTTTAAAGGCTTATTGCTAATTGCTAGTGTTAAGGTGGCTCTCATTGGCAAAACAGGCAGGAACCCTCTGTGTTACTGCCTGCCCCAGCTCCGCTGATCAAACTGGTAAGGTGGGGATTGCAGGAGGGGTTATACTGACTGCAGTACTTCTTGTTTTTTAATTCCAGTTTTTGTGGTTACCACCCTGTGTTCAGCACTACCTACTGCAAGAATCTTTCTTTGGTGTGCGCCGTATTTCCATTTCAAACTGTGCTGTACTACTTGTAAGAGCAGGAAATGATCTTAATCTGATTTGTCACGAAAAGAAAAAACCTTGCTTTTATGAGGAAGTTGATCTAAGTGTAAGATCTTAGATGGAGCTGAGCGGTGACAGCCACGTACTGAACACACTGAAGTTGTTCTCGTACCCGAGGGTGGTACGCGGCGCTACCCAACTGCAAGCGTTTCATATTTCCCTTCCTCTCTAGCCTTGTTTAGCAGGCTGGAAGCTGGAAATTGTGCCTTAATCCCGATTCCTCCATTGATTTAAAGATCTGAATAGGTTTTTTTCTCTTTACTAGCAGCTGGGGTGTAATGCTTAACTGTCCCAGAGTGTCTGGTCTTTTCAGTAGGTGTTTGAGAGTCGTCTTGTTGGATGCACTGTGGTGGTAGTGCTGCGGGGGCTCTGATTTTGGCCTGGATACTCACCGGTGGCAAAGAGCTTCAAGGGTTAACCTACTAGCTGGCTGTGGAGTAGAGAGAAATACTTTTTCAAACGTTATACTAAAATGTTTTTATTATCTCTGAAAAATAGGCAATATAGCCATATATAGACTTGTGGGATGTTTTTGCTCTTTTTAAGTTTCCAGCTGCGGTAAGCCTCTGATATTGCTGACATTCTTGTAACATGGCTCTGGATTTATTCCGAAAGTGCTGTCAGAAGAGGCTGAACTCTGATCCCATTGTACTCGTTTTGCAGAGAGCAACCTATTCCCCTTGCCAAAACAAAGATGTGTGTGCTGGAGTTCCTTGGAAAATTGCTTCCTTTTTCTGCTTTTTTTTTGCACTCAAGTGCAAATTGTGGAAGTTCCCTTGTGGAAATGAAAAATGGTATAATGTTCTATAAATTAAAGGTCTAGTATCATTAGGTGAATTCCTCTTTAGATCTCCTCTTCTAGCAAGTATTCTGTTAGTCCTTTATATTTTCATGTGGAAAAGTCCCAAAGCCAGTATATTTGCATGAAGGGCTATGCTGAGTATAGTACTCTGAAAGTGGAGAGGTTGTTTTCAGTCCTTTTAATCATTACAGTATTCTTTATTGAATGATAATACAGAAGGTAAGTATTTTGGGCAAGAATTTTGTGCAACTTCAAATAAAAATAACCTTTTTTTCCTGACCTTTCTCTGTTTGATTTCTTACTGGATCAAATGCCAAAGGGCTTGTCGGGGACCGGGAGAAGGCTGAAAACCTGGAGTTCCCTCTGGTGGCTGAGTGCTGTTGGAAAGCATGATATATCTTTTTAAAGGAGTGATACTGTGAATACATTAATCTAAAGATGAGCAGAATGAAAACTCTATGAAATATTCATCGAAAACAGGCTTCTGTCTGTCTACAAGACACTTTTTACAGCCTTTGGTGTATCACTGTCACATAACCATAAAATTAAATGCTGCTTGTTTCAGGAGGCATCTTTGTAATGAAAGGATACTATGTTAGGATGAGGAACTGGCTTTTCTCAAAACAGATCAAATTTTTAAAAGTTAATATTTAAATATCTTGGTAGTAGTAATTACTGGTTTTGAGGAGAAAATGCTCTGAGTATTCCATTCATGGCACCAAATAGATGTGTGTATGAGGGCAAAACGAGGGAAAATGAAATCTCCTGGCTTTTTTTTTTTTTTAACCACCCCAATTTTAGAAGTTACTTAATAACTTTGGCTGTGTCCTCTCATAAGCCTCAGAATTATTACAGATTGTTTTGCAATAAACGTGCAGCAAGCTTCACAGGTGTGGTTATGAGTGCGCTGAGCAGAAATGTCCACCATGTCTCATCACATTGTCTTCAACATTTTCCCCTTTGGAAGCTTTTATTTGACTCCTGTGGTGCATCATTAAAACAATATCAAAATTTGCTCCCTTCTTTATCCTATTAAAAACTGAGGTTGCACGTTTTTTCAGAAAATAGAGAACATTCTGCAAATGGCTTAAGGAAAACAATATTTTGAGTTGTGCCCTGAACCCTAAGGTAGACTTTGCAAAAGGCTGTACTTTAAATTTCTGGAGATAGATTTGGGTGTGTGTGTATACACTAATCTTTGGTAACATGCCAGTATTTACACTGCCACAACTGTCTTGATAAACAACAACATAGCACTTGGCTGGGCTAGAAGGCTGCCAATACACCACTTGGAGCTGTCTGGCATGAAAATAATAGTCTGTTTGCTAAAGTCATTCCACCTTGTTTATTGGGTCTGAACTGAAGTTATCTGCCTTCATTAGTGACCTTTTCTTATCTTTGGTAACATGCCAGTATTTACACTGCCACAACTGTCTTGATAAACAACAACATAGCACTTGGCTGGGCTAGAAGGCTGCCAATACACCACTTGGAGCTGTCTGGCATGAAAATAATAGTCTGTTTGCTAAAGTCATTCCACCTTGTTTATTGGGTCTGAACTGAAGTTATCTGCCTTCATTAGTGACCTTTTCTTATTGCATCCAAATTCAGAGATTTCCCTTTCCCCCCAATACTTTGTGTATTCAGTGTCTTTGCAAAGTTTGTATCTAGTGCCTTAAGTCTGGCTTATTTTAGTTCGAAGCCTAAGTCTTAAATTTTCTTAATGCTAATCATAGGGAATTTATGATATGACATGTCTTGTCAGTGTAAAAAACTGATTTGTAATAGGTACCTCTCAGTTCTGGGATTTTTTTCCTAGGATACCATGGGTAATATGAAAAATAATGAGTGGGATCATCCGCACATTGCTCTCTGTAATTCAAAGAAAACAAACCCCATGCCAAACGTGAACTGATTGGAAAGAGATGTAGTTTTTGAGTGCGTTTTCAATGAAACTTATAAACAGCCTCAGCTCTGCCCTGCCTTCCCCTGGATTGGATGTCTCCTGAATTTTTTTTTTTTTTTTTTCAGTCATTTAAACAACACTATTCCCTTTGGCTCTTAGTCTTTTGGGAAACCATCTTGACTGTGGTGCTGAATGTTCCCAGAAGTTGACACGGAGTCCCTGAGTTCTGCTGAGATTTTCCATTCATTCAGTCCTTTTTAAACTTAGTTCCATTTCAGATGGAGGTACTTATAAAAAGATTCTGTTGTGAGACGCTTCCCCCCCTTTGCCCCCAATAGCAAAGTGAATAACGATGAAACACTTGATTTTAAATTTCTGCTCTTGGAAACTTGTATATTTTGTTTGGTTTCAGAGCAAGAAAAAGTTGATAGGATGGTTCTCATCAAGGGAAAAAAAAAAACCTGCTCAGGTTGTATGTGGGTTTTGCTCTGTAACTTTTTTTTAAGCATTTAAGCTGTCTGTATCCATAGTAATTTTCCGTACTCCTAAATGCTACTTTGGCTCTGTTGTGTTTCTTCTAGACTAGTCCTAGTGCAGGATCTCTCTTCTGAATTAGTAAATTCCAGTGAAGTACTGAAACGATAAAAGAGCTGTTTATTTAGACTTTGAACCCTGATATTTGACTTGAGTGTCAGTTTTTGTAGTCTCAGCCTTACTTGGCTCTTTGCTTGAAGTCGCAGTCACTGTTTGTCTTGAGCAGAGAACACTATCAGGGGTTTTAAGCTTTAGATTTCTTTTTTTCTCCCCCCACCCAGTTCTTCTTTTGGGAGCGGTGCAGTCCTTCAAGTCTAACTCCCCCCTTTTTGGAATGGGGGAGGATGTGCTGGCAGGCTTCAGAGGTAGCCTTTTTTTAGTTAAGGTCCATAAACAATGTAACTTCAAGAAGCTGTCTTGGTCTGGAAATCTATTGATCTTTCCGTTAAAAAACTTACTCTCTACTTAAGTAAATTGCTATTTGGGGTTCATTTGAGGGATATTTTTAAATTGTTCTGAAGTAAATAGGAGTAGCTGCGTATGTCAGCACAACAGTTGTATACAGCTCTTTTCATGTCCAGAGAAAGACTTTAAGTTCATGCCCGGTCTTTGTATTCTTGCATTGTTAACTGATAGATCAAGTGCCATCTTCATGTTTGAAACATTGCGATGTAGAATATGGAAAAAAGTATTCCTCTGTCTCACTTAATAGACTAAATAGCTTTTTATCGGTAAGTGTATTCCATTTAATTACATACTGCTTAGAAATTTGAGGTGAATTGTCCAGCCTTGTGCCCTAGATGCCAGCCAGGACACTGCTGTTCTGAGCGAGCTGGCTGCTTTTTGAGTGGGTAGAAATTGCTAATGAAGTCTTTTACAGGTTTAAGAATTCCCTTTCTGATGTCTTACTGCCTTCACTTGTCTTTTATTGTGTAACGATTCCTTCTAAATCTTTGTTTTACAGATTGAGGAAAGGCCAGAAAAAGACTTTGAGAAGGTAAGAAGTCTTCTGAGTTATTCTGCCAATAGTGCTTTCTTCACGTTCTTTTTGGTAGGTAGAACTCGCAGTAAGTGTACAGAAATCTTCCAGAAAGTCCACTGTGGGGCAAAACTTTGAATTATTGGAGCCTTCTACTACTACATTTTTTTTAAGACAAACTTTTAAACCTCTGTGGTTATTCAGAGGTTAAGTAGTTGACCTTCAATAACAGTTTGCTGAAATTGCTTCAGGCTGAGCCACGTGAATACTGGTTTTGTTTATTAGATTTTAATTATGGTATTATGTAAAAATAATAATAAAAAAGAGGTGGGTACTGCAGTAGTGAGAAATTGGCCTAATGCAGAACCCTCAGTAGTTAATGTGGCTACTGCTGCAGAATAGATAAATATCCATGAAAGGAGAGGAGCTTGAGGGGTAGTCAAAAGCATCCACAAAATCTATTATTCCAAGTTTTGAAAAATATCTGGCAAGATGATACTAGCCCCTAAAGATTTTGCCTGATTTAAAGTTAATACCTAGAAGCTAAACCATGCAAACTTCTATTTCAGTGGTGTTTAAATACATCTGATCAGCCTTTTCTCATTAGTTTCCCTTGTTAAATCTTGATCTTTTGATTTTTATTCTTAGAAAGTTACATTTTAATCAAATATGTGTAATTTAGAAGTTCAGGTTCTCATCAAGGGAGTGTATTTAAAAAAAAAAAAACAAAACAAAAAACCCAACAACAACCAACCAACCAAAAAAACACCAAAACATCTCACCCCCCAAAAAAAACAAACTACAAATCCACAATGTATCTAGAAAAAAAATTGTAACCATTTATAACTGTGTGTGATTGTAGGGAGCACGTACTGTTTCAAGTTTATCAGCAGCCACCTTAGCTTCTCTGGGTGGGACTTCTTCACGAAGAGGCAGTGGGGATACATCTATCTCAGCTGATACAGAGGCATCTATTAGAGAAATTAAGGTAAGAAATACTTAAAACCAGCATAAATTGTTAGGAATCTGTCTCTTAACTATGGCTCTTTTGATCAAAAAGTTTTCATGCCTTGTATTTGATAAATTAATAAACTATAAGATTACTTGAAGGTAGTACTGATATTCCCATGACTGACTGTAGAAATTGGCAGTAAGAGTTGGGACTGACAGGCTAATACTAACTAGGACTGTCCCCTGCATTATTATTAAATAGGCAAATCTTATCTGAAGGATATTATTAAATATGCTTTAGACTTCTTTCCAAAAAAGAAACTGTCTTGTCTCCCCCTTTTGGCAGTTCTGACAAAATGAATCGTGTGCTCTAAATGAAAAGTGAATAGCTTTGTTGGAGAGATGCTGCTGGGAAGCTAGTGTGTATTGCAGGAATATTTGAGTAAAGTCCTACAGCGTATGATAGCAGATCAGACTGATCATAATAGCCACATCTCATCCTAACCTAATGAAATAGGAAATGGACTCAGTATAGCACACTGGCAGGAGAATTGAAATAATGCAAGAAGCACTGCACTTACTGGATGCTAATTTGGGGACCAGACTGTATTTTGTAATCTAATTCGGGATTCCATGAAGTTAGACGCATTCGAATAGTAAATAGCTATGCAATCCAGTTCGTATCATTGAGTGCTAGTCTGGGTAGTCCATGGCTAAATTGTTTTTTGTAATCTGTTTTTTAATGCTCCGTTCTGAAGACTATTTTAAAATGGGGAATCTGAATTCTGTTAACTTTCATGCATATGATTTACAACTCTTCTGAAATTACAGCTAGTTAAAACATCTGGAATTTGTATTAGGACCTCAGATACAAGCAGGTCTGTCCCAGCTTCAGCACTGTAGAACAGCTGAGAGAGCCATTTGCTGGTGACCAAGGACAAAAGAGGAGAGAGACTGTGTATAGGACTTACAGTTAAATTTAGTGTTTTCACTAAAAACAGATGGTTTCCTACATCTCTAGTATAGCCTGTATTTCAGGCTTGCTTTGGCAGCCGTTACCCTTAATACCAGAATTCCTTAAAGGATGCTGATCAGTGAAAGGGGTAGAGAAGGGCTGTGTGGCTGGGGAATTTAATTGTTGGAGGCTTTGAAGCTGGGTCTGCGTCTTGTCCTTAACGTTGAAGATTTCATTTTTTCCAGTCAAGAAGAGCAGAATTGGCATAAACTTCTAACCAAGAAATTTCATTGTCTGGCAAGGCTTCAGATTAGGATCAGACGACTTAACCTGTGTGGTAGAAATATTTAAGTGAGAACTATGAATACTTGCTTTTCCCTATCAGCTGCGCTTCTGCCCGTTAGTTTCAGTGGCATCATTCACCTTTCTCACCGTTTCCCTCAGGATATCTATGAGTTAAAGGACCAGATTCAGGATGTAGAAGGCAAATACATGCAGGGACTGAAAGAAATGAAGGTACTGCTTTACTGCAGAGCGTGATCATTAACACCAGCTAAATGTTCAGAGAGTCAGTGTGAGACCTAGATCTGACCTTGCATGCTTTCTTCTGGGAGGGGTTGTAAATCGTGTGAAGAGCATTTCATTAACTGGAAAAGTATCTGTTCTGACCTCAATTGTGGTGAGAAATGCTTCCATATAACTAAAAGGCTGCTGATTACTACTGCATGTTGTCTTGCTGTTCTGAGAAGGTAGTCATTTTGCTAGCAAATTAAAATTGTTAGGGTTTTTTTTTTTATAGTTTCCTAATCCAGGAAGCCTTGCAATATTGGAAGATAAACTAAAACTCATGTCCTACAGTGCTATGAAAAATCGGAGTTTAAAAGCTTGTATGTTTTTGTTTTGATAATGTCCAGCATGCCTTTGGAAAGTTGTGCATGTGAGGTGGTGGCTATCGTTTTGGTTTCATATTTAGATGATGGAAGACAGCCTTAAACATTTCTTGTAACAAACCTTCACGTAACAAAGCTTGTTACATGAAGAATGAATGCTCACACCAGTTGGCACTGGCGCTTGCCGTTTTCACGAAGCCGTAAGTGATTTTTGAGACAACAACTAGCTTGTGCATCTGCGTACCGCCACTTCATAAGTGAGCAGCAACATCAGCTGCATTTTTTGGAAAAGGCATTCTTGTAAATATGTATATAGACATCCAGGCATATAATGCAACGTTTATCAGTATTAATTGCTGACTGTGTCATCAGCTCAATGCTATGACAGGTGAAGATGCTGCCATCTTAAGTGACTTCTCAATGGAAGAAAGAGTAATTTGTCCCTTTTTCTGTAAAACCTGTTTTTTTCCCTGATCACTGTGTGGCAGGTGTAGCAAAATAATCCCACTGCATAAAAAATGTAGGTAATTTTTCAATTCGTGTCCCTTAGACTGCCTTTTGTGGTGATTTGTACCTAAGCCGCGCTGCTTCATGCTAAGGAAACAAAACGTAGCATGCAGAAGGACTGGTGCAGCAACTACCTTAACTTCTTACTTGCATATACTTCCTTTCCAGCTAATTTCTGAGATTTAATCCTACCACTGTTTCCAAATCCTGGCTGTTTTCCTTTGCTTGGTATTTCTCATTCTTGGGCTGGGAAGTGCACCAAAACACAGTTTGTGTTTGGAACTGTACAAATTCATGTCCTTAAAGACAAATTCTCTTATTTGTCAGTAGAAATGTAAACTGAACTGATTCAAACTTAATTTTGTTGTCATCTCACTACTATATCCCCAGTTCCTTTGGCTGAATGAAAGGGGAAGTATATGAAACTCACCTGTGCTTTAGATTAGCAGTTATTAGTTATTAGTAGTACTTAAGTTCTGAGAGAAATTGCTTGATCTGTAAACTCAAATGTTGACATGAGTGTCTTCCTTCTTTGCATACTTGCACTGTTTTGTTTATGTAACTCTTTTTGTTTCTCATTAAAATGAAATACTGCAAAGTTTGCTGCACAACATGGAAAATGATCCTGATCTTTTTTTTGCCATCATCTGTTATTATAAGTACTTCAGTATCTTATATTCAGGTCAAGTTGGCAGGAGGGATTTTCGAGACCCTGGGAATTGTATCTTACAGAGTAAATTTGTAAAGAAGGGATATGATATAGGAGACCTAATGAAAAATGATACACCAGGTCACAGAAGCTGCAGCTTTTTCATGGCAAATTCTAATTCCTGAGTGAGTATATTTAGTGGTTCCCACACTGCAAGGATCCCTGAAATTTGTGTGAAGTCGCTGTCAAATTGCCTTAATTTAGGACCTAAGATCATCTAAAATGATCTTAAATCAAGGCCAGTTTACCTTTAAAAAAAAAAAGTTCCAACTTGTCATCTTCAGCAGCTGCTTTGAGCTGCCAATGTGCAGGGGCAGGGGGAGGAGGGAGAAGGAAGAAAGCTCTGAGAAGGCAGAAGCTGAAGCAGCAGAGAACAGGAAACATTTTATCCGTCCTGAGGTAAGGTTCCTTGCTTGTAAACAGAAGTCTGGTGGGAACACAGGGGAGGTTATCCTTACCTTGGGACAGTTGGTAAGCACATGATCAGCACTGGTTTCTGTAGGAATACTTGGTTTAGTGCTTAATTTTCTTGCTCAAGGGCTTGGTTGGCAAAGTGTGTTTATAACTGACTCTGACTGTGGCTGCTTATTCTTTGCAGGACTCTCTAGCTGAAGTTGAAGAGAAATATAAAAAGGCTATGGTGTCAAATGCTCAACTAGACAATGAAAAAACAAATTTCATGTACCAAGTAGATACCCTGAAGGATGCGCTCTTAGAGTTAGAAGAACAGCTGGCCGAATCCAGGCGGCAATATGAAGAAAAAAGTAAAGTATGTATATAGCTATGGCATGTTATTTAACAGGGAAAGATTGCGGGGAGGGACGCAGAGACCTTCGGGAGGAGGCAACCAAATTACTATTCAAGATTTTAAATAAGTTATTGTTTTAGTTACTGTTAAAGCAAGTGGAATAGCAGCATATTATGTGGTTGTGATCATGCAAATGGGAATCTTCCCTAAGTTTCTGTTTTACAAAGCCATTTCTGAAGAAGTGAAGAAATGTTTTATATGGCAAGGCTATATTGATATTATCACATGTCCTTTTATATTCCATCTTTAAATTCAAAGGTTTTGTTCATAATGACTTCTAGAGGATTTGGGTTTTTTTCTTCTGGAGTATTTTCACACATACAGCTCTCTTCAGAAGGCCCGTGGGAGAGTTGTGCAGTTTATATAGTTAAGGCAGCTACTTGGTTGAGAGCTGAATTAAGTTTTACATTAATTCAGCATCTGACAGCTAGTGAATTGGTGTTAAATAATAAAGCTGTGACTTGTGTTAGTTTTTCAGAACTGGCTCTTTAGCTTGGGGCATTTGACTATAGTGCACTTCAAAACACATAGTTCCTGGAAGATATGGTTGGTTGTTTTTTTTTTTTAAAGTCTGCAATATTTAGCTAACTTTTATTACACGGTTATGTGTAAAGAGTGGGTTAAATTCCCATCCATTCATTTGTGAAGTCTGTAGGACTTGAGTGTAAAAGCTATTCTCTGCCAGCCTGCTGCTCAACTTATGAAACTGGCTGAATGATGTCTGTCACTTCTATATTTGATGGAGTAATAGTTTCTTGGAAAAAGGACAAATAAGATAAAAATTGTACTCTTGTGGGATTTTGATTAGAGGAATATTCAAGAATTGCATTGCAGTAAGCATTTTTTTTTTTTTTTGGTTGGGCTTATTTTCTCCTTTTTTCATGGGATGCTATTTTTGATCAATAAAAATGTCATGAATATTTCATTATTCATAGGAATTTGAGAGGGAGAAGCATGCTCATAGCATATTGCAGTTTCAGTTCATGGAAATCAAAGAGGCTTTGAAGCAAAGAGAAGAAATGCTTGCAGTAAGTAACTTTTTTTAATGGTTTCTTTGCTTGGTATGTTTCCAGTTAGCGGTAGGAGTGTAGAAGGTGAGGCATGGAGAATTTTATTCCCTACTCAAGTTTCTCACCTGAAGAAATACTAGTGTTTCAGGCCAAACAAGTTCAGAGCTGACTAATAGAAATAGTACTTTCGTAAGTATTACCTGAAGTTGGACTTTTTTGCCACGAAATAAGCTGTGTTTCTGACAGCTGTTTGTGGAGATGCAGAGGAAACCGATGGAACTGTCTAACTTTGTTGCAAGTCATCTGGTGGATAGTAAGATTGTCTTCAGGAGTGTAGGTTTAATTGAGGTGTCAGAAACTGTGAAACTGTGCATGTAGATACTCTTTTACTTTAGCACCTGACTTTTTTCACTCTTTGGCATCACTGCAATCTTAACCTTCTTTGTTAACTTGTAACCTGCTTTCTGTCTTCTTGTTTTGCTCCTGTCTCTCAGGAAATCCAACAGCTGCAACAGAAACAGCAGAGCTATGTCAGGGAAATTTCTGATCTTCAGGAGACAATAGAGTGGAAAGACAAAAAAATAGGGGTAGGACTGTCAACTCCTGAAATGTGTTCAGAGTGGCACTATCATACTCCAGCTGATTCTGCTTTTGCAAAACCTCATGAAGAAAATCCTCCTTAGTGACTTTGCTTGGTGTGGCTGTCTTACTGTATTACCAGTAAACTAGCAAATAGCAGATTTTGTCTTTGGCCGGTATCATAAAATCCAAGAAAAACTTAGCAGCTGGTCTGATTTCAAAACCTAGGGTAATTTATTTGCTGTGGTGCACCATTTCTATTTGCCATATTGAGAAAGGAAGTGCTATTTATAATGCAATTCCATCAGCACTGAATTTTTGCTTATTCAGATTTAATCTGCGGACTGAGCAGAAACTGGAGTGTGATACAGAAGCAATAGAGCTATTTATGGGCTGTTGGGATGAAAGTCTCTAACTCTCCCTTGCTTCTAATCCCTTCCCACCACCCTCTGTCAAAGCCAAATGCAAACCCAGTCTTAAATAAAAGCATGGCTTTCTCTTTTAATGATGAGCACTGAAAGACTTTCTGAATATAGAAGGAGAAAGAAATCTGGCAACTTGCCCATGCTTGCGATGTCCAATAACTTGTGGCAATTTGAAACTCAAAAATTTCTGATTTTTGTTACTGTTCTTTTTGTGTATTTACATAGAAATATTGGGGGATTGAGTAGCAAAATATGCATTTGCACATGGTACATCCCAGTCTAAAGGTGACTTACTGGCAGCTTTCAAATTAACTGAAATGTACTGCACCCATGATGGTAACCCATGGAATAAAAAGACTATTAAAATCTGCTGGATGTGTTTTCATGCCATTCTGCTAACACATGGGAATTGCACTATGTCTTCAATGTGCATGTTGAAGTAATATGGATATGAATTAACTTGTCTAGCAGATAAGAATGAAAAGTGGATCCACGTTTGAAGGATCCCTAATGAAGGATTGGGCTCTAGTGTCTTTAGTAGGAATTCCTGGTTATTGAATAAGCTGTGCATTTCTTGGATTTGAAGTTTATCTGTGTGTATGTAAACTTGGTCCTTTAATCTGTAAACTTAACCTTTTTCATACATGCCGCTTCCATGAATCTCTGAATATCTTAAATCTGCTCATTCTTGTTTACACTTGCTTTTCATGGTCTTTACTTGTCTCCCTTCCTTTCTTCACATCTTCTTGCCCTCTGTCTGTGTTGGGAACTCAGGCGTTAGAGAGGCAGAAAGATTTCTTTGATTCCATAAGAAGTGAGCGGGATGACCTTAGAGATGAAGTGGTTGTGCTGAAGGAGCAACTGAAGGTATGCAAGAGGAATAAAAGAAACTTATATTCAACTGTTGACCTTTTCCTCCTGTATATTTTTGCAGAAAATTTTAATCTAGCTCAGCAGCAAGAACTCTATTTTCATGTTGCCTTTAAGTTGCCGTTTCAGAAATTTTCTGGATAATGTACTTCCCCCTACTACTGACTGTGAGCCCGTAGTATAGGCTGTAGTATTAAGTAGTTGCTTTTGTAGGAGACGCTTCTCTGAGGAACATTTTATGCAGCAGATTTGTATTTTTAAAAAAAAAAAGAGCTGGGATCGCATGCTTTCTATCATAATGGCTAAACTGATAACTGTAATATTCTGTGCTCTTTTTCTGACTTCCAGCCATGTTTAATGGAACGATTGAAGCAAATGTTTATTCAGAATATCAAGGACGAGAACGCTTGAACAGTCCTTCTCTTTCTGAGCGGTAGGCTTTAAAGCATTGCTTTTGCTTCTCCGCAGAAACATGGAATAATCCCAGACTCTGAGGTAGCCACCAACGGGGAGGCAGACATTCTTGATAACGAGGGACACTTGGATTCTCCCAACACTGTTCCAGGCACAACTCAGGCATTAAAGACAGGAGGGGAGGGGACACTAGGTAAGTGCTGTATGTCCTTTCACATCTTTCCATCTGTCTGTCCATTCATTCATCTTTGCTTGGAGTTTGGGCATTTGTTAGTGGGACAATTAACACATCACGCAGCATGCTACTTGTTGAATCACTTCCTATGCATTTTTCTGCTTAATATTTATTATCACTTCAAGTATGTTGTGCAGTTTCCTGCAAAGGCAGACTTCATTTCCCATTCAAGGCGACAAAGGACAAGAATACAAATAATTACATTACAGATAAGTAGCAATCATTCAGATGACTATTTAAACCCTGAATTTGAAAATTGTCCCAGAATAATCCTACTGTTGTTCAATATTTTTCTGCACGTATCTTAAAGAATCAGGAAAAAAGCATTTTAGTTTCCCATAAAGAACTGGTATGTTGGTTCATTTATATACCTGAGAACTATAAGTGTCTGCTGAACAACAGTGCTGGGCACTGTGAAGACACACTAATGTATCAGTTCATTGTTCTTGGTATCCTGTACTATTGAGCAGTTAATATTAACACTTCAACATTTTTACTTGTTATAACAGTATTAACTCTGTTAAATTCAAAGAATATTAACTCAGAGATGGATAGTGTTAGGAAGGAGAAATCTGGTTGGCAAAAACATTCTTCTTATGCAGTTGTGATAAATGGCTACTCAGAGAACTTTTATACTAGTGGAAAGAAAGGAAATAATAGATTTTTTTTTTTCCCCTCCTGTTTTTGTTCTAAATGAACATACTAATGAACAGTAACAGGCAGCCAACTGTTGCAATAGCAAGTTATCTTGCTTTTAGCTGTTGGCTGCTTTTTCCTCACTCAGTTTTTGTGTGGAAACAATCTGGAACACCAAAACCAAGGTAAGGGTATATTTTTAAATGTAAATGTTTTCTGTGTCTCCTTATTCTGTTGTTTTTGGAAACAGGTACAACATAGACCCAAAAGCTAACTGCTGAAACCACACACACTGTTGTTCTAATACCTGTTGCTTCTAAGTATAAGTTGAAGAAAAACTGTTACCAAAAAAAAACCCCAAAACCACAGAAGTCCCCATCCCTTTGGGTGGATGAAGTGGCTGTAAGGGGCACTAAGTACCTGAGCTTTGGTCTGTGTTGGTAATGTTAAACAGCTGAACCATTTGCTTGCCAATCAGATTTTACGTTCAGTGTTTGTCATATACACTGATGATGCCTGTTTATGATACTTAGGAGTAAAATATTGTTGAACAATCCTTGATTACTTCATTATAATGGCATCAGACACACACTTTTGCATGCACAGAGTGGTGTTAGGGTCAAAGTTGTAGAGAATATTGCTGAGAAAAAATAACCTTTACTGTTAGTGTTACATGTGCAAGTATTACTGTTAAATTGCACTGCTTGAAACAGTTGTTTTCATCTACAAAAGCTGTAATTCACACAGCCAAGAGCATAAATATTTTACTTTACAAAAATGCAAGCCAGCAGCAGAGACTTCTTGCTTTGAGAGGGTGGTGGTGAATTTCACTGATCAAAAACCCCGGACCCTTACTAATTCAATTGCTGCTTTGCCTCACGTAATTGGCAAAAGCTGATCTTTTATTAACCTATTCTTTGATTCATTCTCTTTCGGGGTTTAAGTGGGGAGGTAGGTGCTGTGGTGTGGTCCCTTCAACTTTCTCAATGGTCTTTTAGGCAAAGCCAATGAAGTGGACATGAAAAATGAGATTTTGGAGGATATGGGGAAAAGAGAAATCTTGCAGAATACTGAGCGTGAGGAACACAAAGAGGAGTCTGAGGAGCAGGAAGTACAGACATTGCATGCTGATGAAAATGCAAAGGCAGAAAAAATGGTTGAAGAACATGATGCCCTGTCAACAGTGATGTTACCAGATAGTAGGTTTGCAGAACAAATTCAAAGTCTTACAGAACGTGTATCAGTGAGCGCTTCTTCAAATGATGATAGTGACACAGATGATTTGAGAAAGGAGACTGAGTCCGCAGGCACAGCAGTCCAACAGCCTGTTAGTACGGAGGCTGAACACCATGATTTAAATGCAAGGACAAATGAGAACTTGGAGGTGGGCTCTCTGCAAGGTCATCAGATTTTTGAGACTCCTCAGGAAATGCCTAGTGTCTTAGGTACAGAGCACACACTGGAAAAAGCTGCACCCGAACAGGAAGAACGAGAGGATTTTAAAACTAGCCACGCCCTGAGTGATAATGAAATGGATCAGGAAGCCAACATTACAAGTGAGAGCTGTGAGTTGGTTTCTGACCAGGCAGGGCTACCAGAAGTTGCAGTAGCAGGCTCGCTTAGTCAAGAGGTAAATGTGGAGTGTCACACTGAGGGACTCCAGCACTCAGAAGAAAGTGCTGAAAAGAAGGTTACAAATGTCTTGGAGGAAAAGCTTGTTGAAAGCAAAGACTGCACTGATGGAAGAATTGATAAAACAGGAGGTGACAGAGCTGAAGAAGAAAATGAGGTTGGGAACACAGTTCAGGGTCAGATGAGGGAAACGGAGTCTGTGGGGTTGGAGGGGAGGGAGTCGTGTGAATGTGATGTCCCAGCAGATACAAGTGAAGAGGAAGGTGGAGCAGATGAGGCACGCATGCAGCCAGTTTCTTCAGAGGACAGTCCTTCAGCATCATCCGAAGAACAAGATAAGCAAGATAAAACTGAACTTGAAAATGCTACGGCTGAGAAGGATGGACAGAAGGAGGTATTAATAGAAGAGCTGGATATGTGTTCAGATTCTGCAGAAACAGGCGAGCAAGATAAGGCATCTGTGGAGGCTGGAGGCTGTATTACCGAGGTAAAAGGAAGTGTGCTGCAGCAGGCAGAGCCAGGCACGGATGTTATGAAAAAGGTGAAGACTCAGGAAACTAGTTTAGACCCAAGTCTTTTAGATGACAAAATTCAGGAATCAGAAGTGGAGACAGAGGATGAGTCTGGGAAAGGAAAGGAAAGTAGGACAGAATGGGTAGAAGATTTAAAGCCAAAGGTAGAAGATCAAACAGTTCAGTGTAGTGAAGAAACAACAGGTGATACAGTGGGAGAGAAAAATACTCCTTCAGAAGCGCAGAATGTAGTTAAACAAGAAGAAGGTGAATCTGAAGAGAAGCCAACTGTACATGTTAGTGTAACTAGTGAAAACAAAGTTGATAAAGAAACACTGAAAGAAAATGAGAAAGAGTTAGAGCTTGCAGACCACCATGGGGGTGGATTTGCTTCTGAGGAAGATGCAAATAATTCCCTTGCACAGAAAGCTGAGCAGGATGAACATGTTAGTGAACAAGTTAAATTGGAGAGTGAAGCAGAGGAAAGACCGGAAGATGATGGTGATGCATTTGATTTTGATGAGGAGTCAAAACAGATACTAGAAACTGATGAAAAATGTGATGGAGAGAAAGCTGATACACGGAAAGGAGAGGGTGATAGAGCAAATGATGCTGTCCAAGAAAATCCCCAAACAGATGAAGCTGGAGAAAGAACAGACAAAGTAGAAACCGAGGACACCTTGACTGAAGATGACAGCTTGCAGCATAAAAAAGGAGGTGAGCCTGGAGAAACAGGGTGCTTGCAAGGGGGAGCATCATGGAGAACTGATGAGAAGACTGATACGATGGAAGATGAAATCAAAGCATCAGATTCTAATAAAGCAGAAAAAATACCAGATGAAAATATTTCGGAACGGGATTTGGAAAGTGCGGGCAATAACAGGGATGAAAGCAAGGAGGATTTGCAGGGTGGTAGAAGGGGTAAGGGTAAATCTAGAGATGACTGTACAATATCATAAGTTCAAAATCTCAAGACTACACGAGTTACATGCCGTTTGATCAGTCCCAGTACAGAAGCATGCACTTTGCACAATACATCAGACCTTAGGAATACTCTTAAGGTTTTTTCTTTATAGGTAACTCTCATCATAATACAATGTTATGTAAGTGGTAATGATGCAAGTATTAAGTTACTCACTGACGAATCTAGCCACAAGAAATCGTGCGTGGGTTTGGTTTTGCTGTGTCTCAGGTTTACAGTTTATCACCAAAAGAGCAAGCTTCACAAATCAACTATCAGACTATCTTGCAATTAAAGTACTTTTAGTGTGGATAACTGCTACTGAGGAATTTCTATATGAAATTTTATTTTTTTCCTAGCCTCGATGATGATGTCTTGAATGTACTTATGTGCATTGGACCTTTGTGAACTTATGTGCATACTTATGTGTACTTAAACGCATTACATCTACAGTGAGTACATTAACACTTCATGAAGGAACTCAGTAGATGAGCAACACTGATCTGATGTTGAAACTTCTTTCTGAATGACTAAAGCCTAGGAACCAATTTATTTGTTCACTATGGAAAATTACTCTCATTCCACTTCGTGTGTATTTCTAATATGGTCATATTCTAAAATATAGTTAAATCATTGTGAATCTGCTTAGTCTAAACACTTTGGAAGAACAATATTCAGTTTGAAGAAAGTGCAACATACAGGTCTTAGTTTGTTGAAAGGAATAAATATATACGTTTACTTCATCTAGGCACTTTGGACCACAATAGGCCTTTTACACCATGTCTCACATGGGTTTTTTATTTTTTCTGAAGAAAGTGTCAATACACACTGTTATGTGTGCTTAGGTTTGCTATCAAGTACTGTCTAGCTATGAATATATAAAATATCTATTTTTCCAAGAAGATTTTTGTTTAAAATTGCATTTCCTTACTGCATTATATTTTTTGCAAACTATGATTCTGAAGGAATGTTTTTTATCTCTGAAAAATTCTTTCCTCTTCCTTTCTGGAAAGAAGATAACTTTGCATGTCTTAATTCTTGTTGGGTATCAGACCACAGACAATTGTTGTTCTGTATACTAGCCCCCATGCCTTTTTGAAAAGCTGGATTGCTTTGAATTGCTGGCATAAATTAGACACTTTGACTCCATTGGTATATTTCTTCTTGCATCTTTGCTAGTGCTTGGGACGAAGAGCATGTTTTGCATAATTAAAAAT